CAATTAATCCTGAGGAAATTGCGAATCTAGATTATTAATCTAAAAAAAAATGATGATTTAGCTTAGTAAAATAATTCAATTAAGTGTATAATCGAACATAAATAATAACTTTAACTTACAAAATCATCATAATTTTCATTTTCAACCGAATCGCTGCTCTCTTCTGCGACTGCTGACTCGTATTGATCGGTTTTTTGACTAACTTCTTTCACTTCTTTTTCAGCTAATTCCTCCATTATTTGAAGAGTTATTTGCATTTTATTTCTAAACGCTTGCTGTTAATTAATTATAGATTAATATCTGTAAAATATTAAAAGATTAAAAGAACTGCAAAAATTTGCAAAAATTATTTACTAGAAAAAATTCGACTCTTTTCGTAACAGACTTGTTATTACACTTAATACTATAGTTATTGGGATTTAACAAGATGTCACATATTGATAAAATATACGCACAATGCGTAAAATGAAGTTCTTTATCCCTATACTGTTTGAAAACCAAATGGCCAATTTTTGTTAGAATATCGTGATTTTTGAAAAGTTCATAAAACGCATTACGCGTTTTTTGATTCTGTTTCCATTCAGCGATCTTCATAGAAGAAGAATTGTTATCTATGCGTTCCAATCGCTGTTCTCCAAAGACGGAAAACATGGCACTCCTGATACTTGCGGCAAAATCATTTCTCCTGCTTCTGCATTTAGTTTTTATCTAAAAAAAAAGTTAAATAAATATAAAAAAATACCTTTTTTAACGATTATTAATATTTCACATACCTCTGCCAACAACTTATCTGAAAATAAAGAAATCCACGCATTTTGCCCAATATTTTTAATGTAATGTTCTGCATGTTTAGATAAATATGTTTCTAAAGCCTTTCGGTACTCTATATCCGAAAGATATAAAGACGTTGGAATAAATTCTTTAGCTACATTTTTATAAACGCGCTGTGAAGATATTTTGTTATTATAAGTATCTTTAGATTAAAATCAAGTTGATAATTTTTAATTAACTTACATTCCAGAAATCATCGCTTAATACATTACTTTTTGCAACAATTTGCGTATCTTGAATACTTTTTTATTGCTGATCTCCAATATATTGACAAAGTTTGTAGATGGCGTTTACCTTTCCATCTAATGTATTCATGGCATAATTAAACTCTTTCACAGTTAGGTAACGTTCACCCTCTACATTATGTGGTTTTGGTAAAGGCTCACAGGTATCACTTTTATCGCGGTTATCATTTTGTTCTTCGTTATCATCGTCATCGACGTTATAATAATCAATTTCTTTATCAAGGTCAATTTGCATTGGACTAAGTATGGGAGTTGGCATTCTCGAAGTTCTTTCATAACTCATAGGAGTTACAGATGGCGTCAATGTAGTTGAAATGGAAGTTTCAGTATGTGCAGTCCTGACTAAAGAATTCTCGCGATTTGTTGAGGATTTCTCACGATTTGCTGGAGTAAAATAAACAGATTTAACTAAAGATCTTTCACGATCTACATCAAATGGAGTAACGAGTACGAAAGGACCAGTAGGTGATTTTTCACGATCTGTACGCTGATCTTTAGGAATTTCTGAAGATTCTACTGTTGGCGTTCAGCAAAAGTTAATTATAATGTTAAATTGCAAAATATCAGCATCTTGACGACTAACTACCTGATAACATTTGTGCAAATATATTTTGTTGGCTTTCATTCTGTCCTTCAGGAACGTCAAGTGCTTGTTTTCTTCTTTGTCCTTCAGGAATATCAAATGCTTGCTTTCTTTTTTTTGAGTTTTTTGCATTTTTTGACCTTTTAGACGCCATAATCACTTAAATTCTAAATTCGTATAATTTGTATAGGAAAAATATTGCAGAGAAAAATTCAAACAACAATTAATTCGAAAAATTGAAAAAAAAATCGTTAAGATTCATATAAATGTAAAAATATGCGATGATTCAGCCAACCGAAAAAAAATGAAAAAATTCTTACATTATAAATAATTGAAAAATTGTGTAAGGTTAAAAGTTTTGCCAGAATTTTTTTAAAAAATCAGTTACTCCTGAATTAAAATAAATATATTTAAGGATCAGTAAATTAAATAAATTAATTGTTAATGAATTGGTAAAAAAATCAGTTACTCCTGAATTAAAAATATCAGTAAATGAAAAAAATTAATTACTAATTAGTAAATAAATTAATTATTTTTCAGTAAACAAAAATAATCAATTATCAGTAAAATTTATATTCGCTTGATAATCAGTAAAAAAAAAAATATACCAAAAGTAAATCTTCATAAATATTTCTCGCGTGAAACTAATCAAAAAATTTTCCTGTGTTAATTTCTAAACTCGCATTAATTTCTAAAGAAAAATGGTCAGATATAAATGTCAAATTTGCAAGAGATATTTTTCAACTCCCAGCAGTTTGAGACAGCACGCTAATGCCAAACACCATGAAAGAACAACAACTTCTCGACCAAGTGAACCAAGTGAACACGTTTAAAGATTCTCGTGACAACCATCAAGAACAGCGGTTATGCCAGAACATGATGTTCAGTTATGGAACACACCCATTACAATGCCAGATACATTTACTTCNATTATATAAAGAAAATTGAAATTATCGAAATATTAATCTCGTATGAACAAAGTAAATTAAAAAGGTATACTAAAGTTTGTGTAAAATTTAAAGTTTTGAACTTCTGTTTATAGTACAAAGAAATATTTTATTAACTGATTGGTTTTAACAGAATTATAATTAAACAAAAACCTTGTTAAATTTTATTGTATACTAACTACTAACTCTGTCTCTTATACACATCTAGATGTGTATAAGAGGTTAGATGATGCTTTAGATGCTATTGAAGGAAAAAATCTACCAGAACACGTAGCAAAGTGGCCAAACGATGCATACAGAGATTTCATGAGATTAATTGTAGAGGGTAATATATCTAACAAAATTGGAGATCAAATAATTAAATTCTTTAATAAATATAGCAATCTGGAAGAATCTTCATTACCGAAATCAACCAAAAATGGCAAAGACCATCTCAATCAAATAACTTCACCTTCATTAGACTTCAAAGAAAAAGTTGTTTCAACCTACAGTGGTATTGACATTACACTCTACTATCGTCCCATATTTTGCGCTATTCAAGCTCTTCTGCAACTACCAGAAGTAGCTAATAATTTTGTCTATAAGGAAATTCTAAAAAAAAAAAGGGTAAATTTAATAATTATGAATAACTAAAAAGAAACTGAAGATCATCACTCATATTTTTGGTTGTTTATATTCTTAGGATGATGGAAGCGAAACAAGAGTGTTTGGTGAGCTATATGAAGGCGACTGATAGCTGGAAACGGAGAAGACTCTTCTGCCATTAAATCACCTATTGTCTATCATCTTATATTTGAATGGGACCACTTTCGATGGACTGGGCAAGACATCAGGCCATCCAGTATTTTTAACGCTTGAAAATGTTCCAAATTGGGTTCAAAACCTACCAGAATTTAAAATACTTTTAGGTTTTTTGCCTAAAGTTCAAGATTCAGGCATTAAAACTACCGAAGTCTTTCGAAGTTTGCAGCGTGAAATATTTCACAAATGCTTTAATATTATGCTTTGGCCTTTACTGGAGAAACCTGATACATTATGTTTTGGGATTAATGGACAAGCGAAAACATTTGCTGCACGAATTTCTTTTTTTCTCGCAAATATGCTCGAAGCAGATGATGTGACCGCTACATATAAAGGAGCGCGATGTAAAATGCCATGCCATACTTGTATGGTTCTGCAAAATAACTTAAACGATATAAAACTTACACGAGAAGATATACTTTTCAGAACTCATGAAAATATGAAGGAAATGGTTAGCGCTGGACAAGGAAAGGAGTATTCTGTACATTATGTCAAAAATGCCTTCTGGGAATTTCCGTAAATATCACTAAATTTTATAAGTAATGACGACGTTGTAAAAATTTTTTTACATATATAAATTTTTTTACAGAAATCTGAATATATACGAAGCGTGCGTTCCCGACCGTATGCATCATATCGACCTTGGACTTTTTAAATATCAACTTGAGTTTACGCAGGAAATCTTAAAAAAGGTCGGAGGGTTGGAATTACAGAAGATTTTCGACGAACGTCTTTGACAAATTCCACGTTTTCCAGGCCTTAAATTGTTAAGTAAAGTAGGTCAACTAAAAGTAATGACAGCATCAGACTATCGTCATATTATGAAGATAGCGATTTTTGCTTTGGATGAAATTTTCAGCGAAGAAAATGAAATACAGTCAACTCTCTTTATAGTCACACATTTGGGACAGTCCATATTTGGTGATTATAAAGAGATGTGACTATATAAAAAAATTTCTTATATTTGTATATCATAATTCCAGACAAAAATTAACATAATTTTAGTCAGAATTATACTTAAAACTTTATTGTATTGTAACTTCGCCAATATTAATCGTAGAGAGATGATCTTACCGCCATTCGATTCGTCTTGATGAGACGGTTCTAATGGTATAAAATACGTCGAAATCCAATAACTAGATTAATTTCCGAAATTAAAAAAATATTAATTGTTTTTGTGTAATAACTCTGTTAATATTGATCCTAGAAAGACGATCTTGCTACCATTCGATTCGTCTTGATGAGACGAATCTAATGGTATAAGATACATCGAAATCCAATCACTAGATCAATTTCCGAAATTAAAAAATATTAAATGGTTTTTAAGTAATAACTCCGTCAATATTGATCACAGAGAGACACAGAGAGATGAGCTTACCACCATTCGATTCGTCTCGATGAGGCGATTCCAACAAGCTATAAATCGTCTTTTTACAATCACTAGGTACTGAGAAATCTAGCAAAATGTTAAATGGCGCAGTAAACATAAATCAAGAAATATTATAATGCCGATGTTTAACATTTTGTTGAATAACTCGTCAGCCAGTGATCGGAAAAGGATAAAACTACCACCATTCGACTTTATACGATTATTAGATGCCAAGTTATTTAATATATTCTTTATATAACTGTGATTATAAATTGTTTTTTTTAATATAAGATTTTTGAGGATAGGTGTGATAGTGACTATAGATAGATTGTGACTATATAGGATAGTTTTTAATAATAAAGTGTTTTGAACATTCAACTGTTGTGACTATATAGTATAATGTGACTATAACGGGAGTGACTATAGAGGGAGTTGACTGTAACTTGTAAAGAACTTTGTGAACTTTACACAAAGTTTAATAAAATGTATACTATAAGCAGACAAGAATCATATACCGAAAATGAACTGAATATCTTAGAAGTAAGAAGAAAAAATTTAAAAAAATTAACTTTCTTTAAAAGTTAATAGATGATCTAACTACTAACTAAAATAGGAAGCAATCATTGATTGGTGCATAGAATTTAAAAGGATATTCTCCCCATTATCTACTATGGATTGCAGTTTTTTAAAGCTGCATAGTTGGCGTTATCATGCAGGTAATATAATTTGAAGATGGCTATTAATTTATACAAATTTTAATTTAATTTAATTATTTTCAGTACCTGCCATTGTCAAATATGGTGCACTGAATGGCCTATCAACGGAGACTTACGAAACGCTCCATAAATTATATATTAAAATTCCATATCGAGCAACAAATAGAAAACACGTGATGCAACAACTGGTGAACGCTGTTAGTAAAAGTTTTATAAGATTTTTTTAACTTTTCTCCAACCATAAATACTAAATTATTAATATTTTTGCAGGTAAAGCGTAAAGAATTAATTCCAACTACCAGCGGCATGAAAGTTATTTGTCGTAAAACCGAAGGGTTTGGAAAAATTCTTTGGGAATTAAATCTAGACTCCATTGATGAAAAAATAAAATCTTTAAAAAAATCTGAAAATCCGTCACATCCAAATTATATTGAAGGATTGGCACAAATAATTACAGCTTTGGATACTTTTTTAGACACATCCTCGCAAGATTCAGAAAATGATTTTTTTATCAAAATTTATGATTCAGTTCATCTAGAAAGTGGAAAAATTCTAAGATTAACAGGTGAATTCCAAGGAAAAGAATGGTTTAGCAATGTCGCAGTAACTCATGCAGAGGATCAAGGACAAGACGAAGGTGCTTGGTACAGAAAAGTAAGTGAACTTTAAAAATTCGTAAGTACGATTTTACTTCGTAGTTCTTTACAAATTATTTCTTTTCAAGGTATTGCTATTTTTAAAATTCTTTCGAGGATCATATAAAGAGCCATACGAACTTGCTCTTGTTCGTTGGTTTGACATTCATCCAATAGAGCCTATAGTCTATGGTTACTCCCAATTATACTATACTGAAGAATATAACATTATTCCAGTTGAATCTATCAATTAGGAGGTTCATATAATTCCGAGGTTTAACAAAGAAAATTGCTTTCTGTTAAATAAATATATGTTCTAAATCTTCAAAATAAAATTGTATTAAATAACATCAGTAAATTTTTCGGCACATGGATCCATAAGGATTCCTCAGATTTTTCTAGAATCCTTAAGGATCTGATAATTCGCAGATTCCTTAAAAATCTTTCAATGAATTATAAAGTTCTTTAAGGTTTCTATAAATTATTAGATCCTTAGGGATTTCCAATAAAAAATTCTTTAAGGAATTTTTAGAATCATTTTATTAAAATCACGTAGCAGTACATCAAACTAAAAAATGATATAAAAATTATGTACCACGTGATACACATGATATAATCATGATTTGATTTTTTTTTCAAATAAACTTTCATTCTTCCCTTTCATTGTCTCCCTGCCTCTCTTTCCATTTCACATCCCTTCTTTTTCTCACACAGGTCGAAAAGTGAAAAATCAGGCACCAATCGGTCACCAATCAGGTAGCTGATTGGTGCCTGATTGGTGACCGATTGGTGCCTGATTGATGCCTGATTTTTTACTTTTCGACCTGTGAGTCCATGTATGTGGATATACGGATTATGTATGAGTAAAAATTTCAACAAAACTTTAGGCGAAATGTTAACTAATAAACATTTTGTTCTCTTTTTTTTAGGTGGTTTTGGGTTTCTCATAACATGGGACCGGTAAGTAAAACAACTTTTTTTTCAATTTTTTTTTTATACTAACAAACATTTCTAACTGTTCGTTTCTCTTCTTTTTTTAGGCAGTTCTTCAAATCTCTAGACATAGTAAAACTGGTAAATAAAGAAAAAATTTCAATTTTTTTTATAGTAATGAACATTACTAATTGTTTATTTTCTTCCTTTTTTTAGGCAGTTTTTTTAAGCTACTGTAGACGTATACCGGTAAGTAAAAATTAATTCTAGTAAATTAATTTTTTATTTAATGAACATTATTAACTGTTCATTTTTCTTCTTTTTTAGGTGGTTTTTTGAGTCTTTTTGAATGTGAAATACCGGCAAGTAATATAAAAATTTTTTTTCAATTTTTTATATATTAACGAACATTACTAACTGTTCGTTTATTTTCTTTTTTTTTAGGCAATTTTTGAGTCTTTCTAAATGTAGAATACCGGTAAGAAAACAAAAAAATATTTTCAATTTATAGGTTTATTTTATTTTCAGGTTTTTTTTTATTAATATTATGATTTTTTTCTTATTGTTAAATAGAAGAAACGGCTGAGAATGATCGCTCAAGTGCGTTTAATATTTTCTGAGATGAGGAAATGAAACAATTGTAAGTCTAAGAAAGAAAAAAACTTTATTTATTTTTTCTTTTTTAGGCGGTTTTTGAGTCTTTCTAGACGTGGAATATCAGTAAGTAAGAAAGAAAAAAAAATGTTTTTTTTTTGTTTATTTTATTAATGATGAGATCCCCCAATTCCCTCTGTCATCAATTTACAGAGTTGCCACATCAAACGGGCATTCTCATGGTCGAGCGAACGAATAAACGAACGAACGAACAATTAAACGAGCGAGCAATTAATCAACAACATAATTAACAAACATATTCAACGAACAACATATAACCTGTCTCTTATACACATCTAGATGTGTATAAGAGACAGCCCCAATTCCCTCTGTCATCAATTTACAGAGTTGCCACATCAAACGGGCATTCTCATGGTCGAGCGAACGAATAAACGAACGAACGAACAATTAAACGAGCGAGCAATTAATCAACAACATAATTAACAAACATATTCAACGAACAACATATAACAACAATATATAACAACATTCTTGGTTCACAACATAAATAGCGTTAGTAATATAAAACGTTGAACGATATAAAATAAAATTTACTTCTCTAAATTTTCCCCAAATTATATCCACTTTTACCTTTAATTTCAAACTTCGATAGCTCTCACTACGAATTATTACTTTAATTAACATTAAACTTCATTAACAAATAATTAAATGAAACTTATATTTTTATTGAGTTCTGTGGATGAGAACTTTGGAATTACTTTGAATTCCGTTCTCTATTTATACAAATTTTACGCTACTTTCTATTCTATCTATATACTATCTTTTATGTTCTTTTACATTTTATCTTTAAACTATCTTTCTAATATACTATCTACATTTTAAATACGCTATCTTTTAATATGCTATCTTATATATTATTTTATATGTTATTTTTTTCTATTATTCGAATATTACATCGTAAAGAAATAATTTATAACCCATCTTTTATGGCTGTGCTATCTTTTCTTTAAAATAATCTTCAAATATTATGTCGTAAAGATATAATCCATCTTTTGTGGCTGTGTTATCTTTATATATGTTCTTTTTAATATGTTATCTTTTATATTCCATCTTTATACTATCTTTTTATATTATCTTTGATATTATTCTATGTTCTTTAATCTTTCTGACATTATTTTATATGTTCTTTTAACTTGCTTTATGCGTTTCGCTTATAATCTATCTTTTGTGGCTTATAATTATTCTTTCTAATTGTTCTTATTATTAAAGATTGCTAAGCCGCAATTGATCGACTCTATTTATCCTATTGGTTCTTTGTCAATCATTTGATAAATATTACATCATATAGATCATTACTCTTCCTAAATGTTTATCCTTTTCGGCTAATTATTTATCCATCTACGCCAATTCATAATTAATTTGTTCGTTCTTAATACTTGGTAATTACATTTGGCGATTAAATTTCATCATATTTTCATGCTTGATATTCGGCCGTTTATAACGAGCATTACTAACTATTTATTTTTTTTCTTTTTTAGGCGGGTTCTTCAAGTCACTGTGGACGTGATACAAGTTATATAATAAAATTTTCTAGTTTTTTTTTATTAGCGAACATTACTAACTGTTTGTTTTTTTTTCTTTAGGTGTTTTTTTTTGGGTCTCTCCAGACTTGGAATATATGTCAGTTAGTAAAAAAAAAATTCTCATTTTTTTTTATATTAACTAACTGTTCGTTTTGTTTTCATTTTTTAGGTGATTTTTCAAGTCTTTCTGGACAGCGTGTCTAGCAAAAACAGAAGAGTAGGAAAATGGATAACGATGCATATGAATAGGGAACATGAGCAAGACTTTTGCTTGTATTTTTTTACTTGTTTTATTTTATAGGTTATCTGGGTATTGTAGGAGAGTTAATAATTTAAAAATGGTAAGTTTCATTGAGAAACTTCTCGTTTGTTTTCTTTTTTAATAGAAATTAAATAACATTTTTTATTTTAGGTTATCTGGACATCAATGGGAGAGCTAAGAATTTAAAGATGGTAAGTTTTGTCGTGAAACTTATCATTTTTATTTCTTTATTTATTATGGTTACTAATATTTTTAATTTTTTTATTTTGTAGGTTCTGCCTTTAAACTTTATATTTACACTTTTTCAATTTTTTTATTTAGAATTTTCAATAGATCTTTTCTAATTATTGTTTTATATTTTATTAATTCGGAAAAAAAATGTAATAATATATATAATAGATAATAGATAAATGAATAAAAATTAATAAATACAAATAAATAAATAAATAAATAAATAAATAATAAATCTATTGATAAATATATAAATAAATATAATAATAAATATCCTTAAGGATTTCTTATTGGTAAACTTAGGATCCTTAAGGATTCTATAATAATTTTATGATAGGGAATCCTCGCTGGTGGGGAAGGTTCCTTAAGGATCCTCACTAATTACAGGATTTTTAGAATCCCTAAAGATCCGCGCCCCAAAAAATTTACTGATGAAAGAAAAATGACATTTCGTCATCCATACAGTATATCTAAAACGCTACTTTAGCTTTTTTCGCTAGTTTTATGAAAAGCCTTTCAGATTGACAAAAAGAGGGAGTCTTTAATAGTATGATATCTTACAGGTTGCTAGTAAATTAAAGCAATTAAACAAACTGTAAAAAATAGCAATTTATCTCATAATTTCCGTCAGTTAGTATTAGTACAGAGTTTTCTTCAGTTAGTAATATAGTGGTTATAAAAGCGGAAATCTGCAAAATCGCAGATTACCGCAGAAATACATACATAAAAAATCAGAAACTTGCAAAATTGCAGATTATTGCATAATTTTGTAAAAAATAAAAGCGGAAATCTGCAAAATCGCAAATTACCGCAGAAATGCATACATAAAAAATCGGAAACTTGCAAAATTGCAGATTATTGCATAATTTTGTAAAAAATAAAAAGCAGAAATCTGCAAAATCGCAGACTTCCGCATAAATTCACAAAAAAAATGCGGAGATCTGCTAATTTTACAGATCTCTGCAGTTCTGCATCTTAAAAAATTTCCCGATGACTAATTGGTAAAACAAATTAACTACTAAAAGTCTAAATATACTAAAATATTTATTCATATAGTAAATATCTTGCAACATTTGAATTAAAATGCCCTTATAATAAAAGTAATTGTCTTGGTGATTTTGTAGTTCAAAAACGATCAAATAATGATCCAAATGCTACATATATGTGGTTTATTGGTTGTAGTCGCTGGTGGAAAAAGGAGGCTGGTAAAGGAAAGCACTTTTTTCAACGTTTAAAGGAAGACATTGATCCAATTTTACTTGGTAAATTATTCAATAGAGAATCTGTAAGTCATTTAAATCAATTTTATACTTTTAATATTTTTATGTTATTAATTAATATATGAATATTTATTAGATTAATCTGGCAAATGAAGCAGATTCTTGTTCCGTTGTATTATCTACAAAATCTTACAGCACAAAATGTGGTAATTAATATTTTTTAATATTTTATAAGATTTAAACAGGTTTTCTAAAAAAAATTAATTATATTTATATTTTTCTAGGATTTTTACATCAATATACAAATGGTGGAATGGAGAAAGGAAAAATTATTAAAAAAGGTTGTAATGTAATTTTTTACAAACTAATTCCATATGATTTGGAAAAAACGCCATATGTCATTTTAGTTAGTAAAGGCTAAGGTTGCTTGTCTAAACCTCTTCAAAATCCTACGATTAGTTTTGTCAAAATTTTACTATAGATTTATTATAGTTTCGGCAGAATTTCACTTTTTGGCGAAACGCCATCTTGCCTAAACCCCTAGGTTTCGGCAAGCAACCTTAGTAAAGGCATTCACATCCATCCACCACCTCCTCCAGGAAGAATACTTCAAGAAGTTACATATAAATTAAAAGTTATGATTGAAACTGCACATGAGGATTTGATTGATATTTCTCCAAGAAAATTAATATCTAGTAAGTAAAGTAACTTTTAAATTCTTTAAATAATTTAAATTATAAAATAATTTCTAATCATTGTAAATATTTATAGGTAACCTTATAAAGGCTACATTTGGCACAGATTATCTTTTACAAGTTCATGCATCGCTCAATGATATAGATAAATTAAGACGTTTAATATCAAAAGTACAAAAAGAACACAATCCTTATGGACAAGGTATTCTTGGCCTAACATATGATATATGGAAAGGCAAGAAAGAGTATAAAGATTATGTTCAACAAGCAGGTACAGCATATATATGTATTACTTGTATTATTATTATAATAGCAATGATACTAATGTTTAAAAAATTTTCTAGGTGTATTTACAGATGGCCAAATTATAGTAATTTGTATGTCTGAAAAACAAGCTAAAGCCTGGGTATCTCTTGACTACTTTGAAATTGATTTAACTTTTAAAAGAGTTCAGGGAGATATTAACGAGTTTGAAGTGAATTGCTATAATGAATGCTATAAAATTGGTAATTAAGTTTTCATTTATATTTTATTATATATATTTTTTATGTTTAATTAACAAATTAATTTAATTAGCATTAACATACGCACGTGTATTTACAAATATTACTAATTCTACATCTTACGAGCGCATGTTTAGTTTACTTTTTAATTGGATTTATCAATTAACAGGGTCTAATCCAAAAATTTTCCATATTGATAACACTGGGTGGAAATGCATTCTTGGAGATCTGGATCGAGCTCAGGCTAAAGGATTGGGTCTTGCACTTAATAGATTGTATCCAAATCTTACTTGGGAAGAACATCTGACCCATATATTTAAAAGTTGTCGAATTCACTATAATAGGTAAGTAAATTCATCATTTATAACATTAAATTTATAAAATCTTATTATAAATATTTACCACTTAAAATTTTTTTTTTTTTTAGAAATATTAAAAATAATAAATATCCAAACAATGTTAAGCAGTTAATGTATGAATACCCTAATGCAAATACTATTGAAAGAGTTGAAGAAATTATTCAAGAATTAAAAAACTCACAAGAAGTCAAGAACTAAATATAAATGGTTTATATTGAATTTTATACAGATTACTTATTAATTACAATAATTAATAAAAAGTTTTATTTTTTTTAGATTGGATATTATTTTATACTATTTTTTGGGTACGAGCATCATTAAATATTTTATATTCCTTCATCAGTGAAGATACCTGGTACGCGTCACCAGATAATACTAATGTGGTTGAATCATGCCATGCAAATGAAAATCAGGATGGCAAATCATTGTCGCTTGAAGTTGCAATTTTAAGGTAAAATATCAACTATCTATCTATCTATTTATTTTTTTGTATTTAATTTACATTTTATTTTATTTAGAGCTAAAAAATATAATGAAAGAAATTTTGTAACATGCCAAACTCAAGATCAATATGGTATTAGAAAAACTGGAAAGGATCATGGAGTGTAATGCGAGAAAAGCAAGCAATGTGTAGATCTCGTCAGTATTATTTAAAAAATTAGCAAAAAATTATTTTATTTTATTTTATTTTATTTAATTTAATTTTATTTTGTTTTAATAGTGAAAAGAGGTCAATCTTCTAATAAAGTTGAATCATTCACTATACAAAAAGGAAATAAATCCAGGAAAGTCACCAAAATTCACGTAATTGATGATCTTGAAAAAGAAAAACAAATGATTTCTTTGAAGGAAAAAAAATTAGAATTAGAGGAAAAAGAGCTGAAACTTGAAAAAAAAAAATTAGAACTTGAGAAAGAGAGGTTGGAACTACTTAAATCCAAGCAAGAATTAGGATTTACAGAATAAGTCTCTATTTTCATTAGACGTGATAAATACTTAAATATAAATCATTAAGCATTCTGCATTTATAACTTACTATTTATACTATAATACTGCACATATTATACATTTGCATGCATTCTTTGCACTTTGAAAGATTTCTTTTTTTGTATTGGCGATTGAAACAATTTATTTGTCTTTTCAAATATGTATTTATATTAGCAATAAATGCTTAATATAGCGTAATATAAACTAATATTTCAAATTAAGAAATGAATAATTAATTAAATAAATAAAATATTTAAACAAATTTAAAAAATTTATATAATGTACATAACTAAAAATTTTTCAAATATTTCAAGAACAGTATTTTCAGATATATTCTTGGATATTTCAATATTTGTTATACTGTATATGGTCCGATGCAAAAAGATTCGTACACCAAAAAAAATGGTAATAAAAAATTTTTTTATTAAGTGAACTTTATTTTTTTTTATGTAAATCTTATCAGTACATATTCGGAAATATTATAATATCATTGTTTACATTAAATCATACATCATCATCGGTGTCACTATAATCATCTGATTCTTCACCAATTAAATTTGCATTTTCATTAGCCTCAAAATATGCCTTAGCATTTTTAAGCGTTTTTCTCCACAATCTGAGTATAACCTTTGAATTAATTTTATTTTTAAATGCGTCCAGAAGTGTATTTTGAATTGATAATAAGTTTGGATGCGGTCCTGACCTTGCAACTTCACCTTTTACAACTGCCCAAACATCTTCAATTGGCTGGAGTTCGCAGTAATATGATGGCGTATAAAAAACTTCATGGCCATATTGTTTTGCTATTTCAACACATGTAAATGATACCTTCTCCTTATGCATCTGAATCAGTTCCAATAGTTCAGGTTTTCGTAATTCATTAGAAAAAGAAATATTGTGAACAGTTAGCCACTCCACTATTTCTTGTTTTTTTGTGCTTGAAGTTGAAATGTTTTCAACCCGACGTTTATGATAGCTTGCCCGAAGCAACTTCCATTTAGAAAATGTATATCCATTTTCAGAAAGAAACTGACATAGAACAGGTGTGGAAACTTGCTCTGCAGTTTTGTTGGAATTCAAAATTTTTGTACGCAAAAGTTCTGAAACATCATCATCAGTTTGAAATTTAGGCCGTCCAAGTGTTTATTCCAGTCTGCCACAATGCACCCAACTGTACTTTCTGCAACACCCAGTGCCTCAGCAACTCGCTTGCGTAATGTGGACTTCAGATGGCTTTCTTCTGAAAAGTTAACCTTAGAGAGATAATTATGCGCATTTATTATCATTAATTTTTCATTGTCTGTTAGTGGTGTGCCACTTCGTTTTGAGAAAGCAGGAAGCATTGTATAATAAAAATTTTTTAAGCAGCAGATTCAGATAGTTATATTCTAACAAACGTGTGAATTTCAGACCGATATGTTTAGTTATACAGGATTTCTCCTTGGCATAAATCCTTTCCTTTTTTGGTGAGGTACGAATCTTTTTGCACCAGACCATAGTATGATATGATATTTATTCGAGTATTCAAAAATTTGATATGTATACTCAGCAAAAAATACTGAGTTTTGCAGTTCATAATTATGTGGAATCAAGCCAAAATCACACTATACTGACACCATACTAAACTCAGCTAGGCAAGTAGACTCAATTGTAAAAGGAATTACTGCTTTTTAATCATTTTAAGGTTAATTAATTATCTTGATTGTTGTTTATTTTTTGGTTCAAAAATAAAAAAATATATATATCAGAATATGTGATTAACATTAAATAATAATACAGTAAGATTGTTTATTACTTAATAAAGTATTTATTTAAAATTTACTATCATCATTTTTGGAATTATGGCTCTGGAAAAAAATTTTTCACAATTACATTGTAATAAAACAATTCTACTATCCGATTGTTAATCATTTTTAGTTCTGGAAAAATTACGATAATTGAACATCATAATACTAATAAGACAATGATAATGAAATTTTACCATTTGGTTGTTGTTTATTGTTTTGTTTCAAAATAAAAAATTACTTGATATAACATTTATTTAAATTTTATCATCCAATCGTTGAGAAAAAAAAAATTTTATGATAACATTGTAATAAAACAATAATTATATTATCCAATTGTTAATCATTTTTAGAATTACTACCCTGAAAAAATTTTCATGATAGGATTATAACGATAATGAGATGACGATAATGAAAATTTACCATTCGATTGTTGTTAATTTTTTGGTTCAAAATAAAAAAAAATATGTACAGTCACCTCGGAAAGTATTGCCCGATTTAAAATTGATGCCAAAAATGGCCAAATTTTATTGATTTTTATTAAACTTTACGTAAAAAAATAATTTCTAAAATAACTAATAATGTGTTGGCCCTCCTCTTGCTTCTAACACTGCATTGATTCTTTGTGGCATTGAAGCAACAACCTCTTCAAAAATGGAACAATCCAAATTTTCCCACCCTATAAAAAATATGTATACGGTTTTTATACTGTATATACGTATTTTTGATACAGTTTGCATTTTTACATACGGCATATCAGTATAAT